TTCTTTAAAAAGATACAAGGGAAAGAAGAATCTGAGTTGCATGTGCAAACTGTTGCTCAGTAGGCTCTGTCTACATGGTGGGACAGGAAATGTATCACATCCACTGTAGCTGGAGTCCTGGAGTTAAATCTCTTTGATGTGTGGCCATTATGGAAATACTGCTTATAATTCATTTCAACAGGCATTAATCAAGCACCTACCCTCTGCCAGGTCTGTGCACAGAGCCCTGAGGCAAGTGCAGATGAGTAAAATGGGATCCTTGCTCGCCAGGACAGCCTGGTGAATATGGGGTACATGCGCACTGAACTTCCTCCTTAGTTCGTGTCCATAGCAGACATCACTAATCACGCACAGCACTCTCTTCTGCCCAGTCCAGCCAGACTCGCCTTAGAATCCTCCACCGCACAGTACAGTGGGGGGGAGGGGGCACTCATTGAAGCTTTTGTCTGTCACCCTGGCTCCGGGGATCCTCAGGGCATGGGGGAGGGATGGTGCTGGAGGAGAGAAAGAAGGGAAAGTCTCATCAACTCACGTGTGACAAAGACAAGCAGTGCTTTGGGGGAAGGGAAAAATCACACCTGCGTCCAGGGGATCACAGCTGACTTCATGGAAGTGATAGGATTGGTGCCTGGTCTTAAAGGGCTTTGCTCCTGGCCTGGCGCAGGAGTGAGGGCTCCGCCGCAGAGGGGCTGACTGTTCCCTGAGAGGCGCGAGGCAGGAGGTATGGGTGTGCTCTGAGGAACAGTGAGCAGGGGGGTATCAGTGGGGCTATAGGAATGTTTCTCTCGAGGCAGAGGGACGTGTTGGAGCCTTTAATGGAGGCCCCGAATCCTGGGCTGGAATGTGCAGACCGAGTTCTGGAAAGTGGGGGACGTCTGGCCACTGCAGGATCAGAGCAGCTTCCAGAAGCAGAGCAGGGCAGTGCAGAGCCAGTTAGAGCTGGGAGAGCTTGCGGTGGGCAGGGAGGCTAGTCAGGAGGCCGTGGCTGGTGAAACCCAGAAGGGGCCTCCCCCTCCCCCGCGCAAGCGACCGATTCAGGAGGCTGTGCCTCTGGAAATCCAGAAGGAATCGGGGATTAGCTAGCTGTAGGGACAGAATTAAAGTCAAAGACAACAGTGCTGTTTGGGCCTGAATGATTTGGAAAGACGATGGGGCTATGGAGCACCATGTGGAAGCCAGGAGGAGAGCCGGTCTGCAAGCAGTTTTAGGAGCCACGGGACAATTGGAAATCTTTCGGACCAGGAGCTGGCAAGATGGATCTGCAGCTCTGGAAAGAGCCAGGAGCCAGAGACTGTGTAGCTAGGAGACATCTACACTCGGAGGAGAGCCAGAGAATGGGAGCCACGGACAGGAACAAGGGCGAGCTGGGGGAGTGCCCGGGGCCTCCTGCATGTAATCTGTAGAAAGGATAGGCAGATACTGTAATGCTTAATAACAGGAGCTAACTCCCAAATAAGCGGACTGAGCAGAAATCCAGAAATAGACTAGATTCGAGTGAAAATGGGAACTGTCGCATATGACAAGGATGACCTCACAATTCAGTGAAGTAATGAAGGACTTTTTCAGGACTTTTGTTAAGACAATTAAGACCCATCTGCATTTTGCAACTCAATAGAAGTGATGGTTGCACAATATTGTCAGTGTCCTTCAGGCCACTGAGCTGGATGCTTCGAAGCGATGCATATAGTTTATATATAAGCGATGCATGTACATGTTACCACAAAAAAAAAGAAATGAAACCATACAAGAACTCACAATGTATGACTGACGACACCCTTTAGAACCCTGAAGTGGAGAAAGCCTTTATAACCAAGAATCAAAATTCAGAAGCCGGGGCGCCTGGGTGGCTCAGTTGTTGGGCGTCTGCCTTCTGCTCGGGTCATGATCTCAGGGTCCTGGGATCGAGCCCCACATCGGGCTCCCCACTCGGCGGGAAGCCTGCTTCTCCCTCTCCCGCTCCCCCTGCTTGTGTTCCCTCTCTCTCTGTGCCTCTCTCTGTCAAATAAATAAATAAATAAATAAAAATTA